GACACACATGCGCAGACACCGAAGCCAAAAGCATAAGCAAGAGATAGCAGATGCACAGCCAACAGCTCAGAATCCTACTACTACTGCTGCAAAGAAAGACCTCCGCCAGCAACTCATGCAACATGCCGTTGACGGCATGCCGCAGTGCAAATATTGTGAATGGCAGTTCAGTAGCTGGCACTGGTTTGTGCAACACTTTGCGCTGTCGCGGTGTCCGAAGTTTCCTGCTGTCGAGGAAGAACATCCGGCACCACAGGACACCTCGCTGACAGACTCTGAGGCGCCTGGACATAGCAAGCCCGAACAGGCATCTACCTCCAAAGCCGCTGCTAGTCAATCTGACAGTCCAGACAAAGCCAATCAGGAGCCATGCCAAACTCAATCAGACTCTGGAGCTCAAGACGAAGCTGATAGGTCGCCTCCTGCACCGGAAAGCCCCCAGCCTGAGCCGGGTTCTGCATGCCTTCACGCCTCCTTGCAAAATCTAGGAGTTCGATCTGAATTGGCACAGCTTGCCAGACAGCCGGACTGGCACCACTGGCGCGTCAAATCAGGCGCAGTGATCAGCATCATTGTGTTTTCTGCAACCAGTGGCTTGTGCGACCAACATACTTTTCTAGACATGTCAGAGTGCAGCATGAGGAGGCTTACCGCATGCATGAACGGGTTCAGAGCTGGCTCACTGAACGCTCGACGGCACTCCACGTAGACTTCAAGGCAGGCAAGACAAGCAGACTTCGACGTGCACTTTCATGCACCACGTTGTATCGCACCGGCCTGCTACATCTGCTTGCTCACTGCGGTCTGCAATACTGCAGAAATGGCGATGGGACTGGAGGATTACGGAGGACCAGCATATGGAGCTCACCAGTGCGGAGAGCCAAGCCAGTGGCCACGCAACGACCACAAAGGGGGATACGGAAGTGGATGGTCCCGCGGACAGTCGAGCAAGGAAGGCGGGAATCGCCGGGCCCACCGCCAGGACGAGAGGGACAAGGACGCCGACAAAAGGACGACGAGTGGTACCAGGAAAACTGGGGAATCCACTCCCTATCGAACTACCAGCTCAGGGAGTTGTGTGGGATGATGGCCAGGCTACTGCTTCGCCACAGCGATCAAATGGCGATAAATCGCTGCGAAGCAGGCTTCATGATGTTTCTCCAGGCTCAGGGAATGCTCAGCTTGGTGGCAGACCTGTACCAGGTGGCACAGGTCTGGAAGAAAGCGCGGGAGGATGCGCCGGAGACGATCAACCTTCCATTGCGGGTTGTGATGTTCAAACACATCATCGATGTACTCCTGTCACGCCTCGAGGCATGCCAAGCCACGGAGGCCAGCCTGCAGGAAGCACAGCAGATGCTTGTGCTCGACGAGCACCACAACAT